GAGCTCAATATGAGACAACGACGGTGAGTCAAGCTACTCAATGACTACGAATGCGAAATTCGTTATCATCAGGGAAAAGCCAATGTAGTAGCTGATGCCCTAAGTCAGAAGGAGTACTCAGGTCGAAGGGTTAAATCATTGACTATAATATCTATTCACACCTGTCCACACAAATTAAGGAGGATCAACAGGAAGCCTTGAAACCTAAAAACATGACGGGTGAATCCCTTAGAGGGATGTATAAGAACCTAGAAGGCAAGAGTGACGGAGTCTTATACCTCATAGATCGCATCTGGACACCGAAGTTCGGTGGATTCAGAGATGTTGTCATGAGAGAAGCACATAATACACGATATTCTGTTCACCCAGGTTCAGGTAAGATGTATCTGGATCTCAAAAAGTTATAATGGTGGCCTAACATGAAAGCAGACATTGCTACCTTCGTGATTAAGTGCCTTACTTGAACCAAGGTTAAGGTTGAATACCAGAAATCCTCAGGTCTACTACAACAACCAGAGATACCTGAGTGGAAATGGGAGCGGATCACGATAGACTTCATAACCAAGTTGCCCAAGACAACGGGTGGACTTGATACCATTTGGGTGAACATAGACAGATTGACCAAGTCCGCGCACTTCCTACCTATCAAATAGACTGACAAAATGGAGAAATTGACCAAAACTTACTTAAGAGAAATATTGTGACTTCATGGTGTACATATATCTATTATCTCCTATAAATACAATAGATTCACTTCGAGGTTCTGGCAGTCACTACAGAAAGCACTAGGAACTAACCTACCATCCACAGACAGACGAACAGAGTGAGAGGACTATTCAGACTCTAGAAGATATGTTGCGAGCCTGCATGATAGACTTTGGGAAGGCATGGGATACTCATTTACCCCGTGTCAGATTCTCATACAATAACAATTATCACACCAACATAAAGGTTGCACCATTCGAAGCACTCTATGGCTGCAAGTACAGATCACCTCGGTGCTGGGTTGAAGTGGGTGATACTCAGTTAGATAAATGGCAAGTCCCTAACAACACCTTTACTAGTCTAGAAATCATTCGGGAAACGACAAAGAAGATTGTTCAAATTCATGAACGATTGAAAGCCTCTAGAGACCATCAGAAAAGCTACGCTGACAAGAGAATTAAACCTTTGGAATTCCAGGTTGGTGATCAAGTTCTAATGAAGGTATCACCTTGGAAGGGATTGATATGCTTCGGAAAGTGTGGGAAGTTGAATCCGAGATACATAGGGCATTTAGAGATTCTCGCATGAAACGGCCCCGTAGCTTACAAACTTCTACTACCTTAGGAACTTAGTAACGTACACCCTACCTTCCACATCTCGAACCTTAAAAAGTGTCTATCTGATGAGACACTCGTGATTCCGCTCGAGGAGATCGAACTGAACGAGAACTTACATTTTGTGGAAGAACCAGTAGAGATCATGGACCGGGAGGTCAAGCAAATGAAGCAAAGTCGTATCCCGATAGTGAAGGTTCGTTGGAATGCCAAGCGAGGACCTGAATTCACTTGGGAGCGGGAGGATCAAATGAAACTGAAATACCCTCATCTTTTCCCATAGTTATCTATATTTTCTTGAACTTTGATTTTGGGGCGAAATTCCCTATAACAGGGGATGATATGACAACCCAAAATTTCTGTCTTATAAATCCAATCAATTTAATCCAAAGTCAGACTTGTTTCTGCTATCCTTTATACATTGTTAAAGGCCTGTTTAAGTGTTCTAAGTCTAGTACATTCGAGGGTTACGTTTAGGGATGAGTTAACTTAAGTTCATTTAGTTGCAATTGAGCCAAAAACTCCATCACAAGGAGTTCACAGCCGCAAACTAGAGTTTACGGCCCTAAACTCCATGTTGGTCGTGAACCCCTCCCCTTAAGTATAGATTTCCTTCATTTCTTTAATATTTCTCACATTTTCAAGGCTGAAAATTCATTTCTCTCTCAAGTATCATCAAGAACACTCCCATTTCTCTTTAATATTGTAAGTGATTCTTCTATTGTTTCTTGATATCCTTCTTGATCTAGTGAAACCCTTTGATTTCATCCATGAATTCAACTCTTTTGGGTTTAGATCTTCAAATCATCATCCTTTACACCAAGAACACACAGTTGTTCTTTTAATCGTAAACTCCCGAAAAGACTTTCAAATCGTGAGTATCTCTTCTATCATCTTGTATCCATAAGAAACACTTGATCTCCAGCCTTGAATCAAGCACATTTTGAATGATCATCAAAAGTTCACGGCCGTGAACCCTTTATGTGGTTGTGAACCCTTCATAAGTTGCATGTATGGCCGTAAACCCTCGTGTTGCAATATGAGACCGTGAACACTTCATAGATGCAAGTTAGGTCCGTAAACCCTTCTTAGGGTCAAGTATTCTTGGCTGTAACCACCACCTTTGGTCGTAAACACACTTGGTGTGGCTGTGAACACCCTTTAATCAACCACATGTGATTGATACACTCCATTATGAGTGATTCCTAGTTCCTAAGGATGTTTCCCTTACATGATTAGTTGTTATGTACACTAATTGTATACATGTATGTGTTATTTTATGCTTATTAGGATCTATTTGTGCTCGGGTATTCACTTGGCATACTTAGCATTCTATATTGATCTTTCATTCGAATCACTTACTACAGGTGAGTTTATACCCCTTAACTTACCCGTTTATGGTTTTAAATGCTTTAAGGGGGGGGATACAAGTAGAAAACATTATAGTTATATAATCAGTCACATGCAATTTATAACTATCAAACAAAGGATTTCTTATAATTTTAAACTGTGTTATCAAACAAATTTTTCAAACCATTTTATAAACGGACATCAAGTCATCAATATTTATTCAAATTGTTAAACTTTTCAAATGAATTACAAAACTCTTTTTACACTTATATTGTCAAGAGAATGTATATATATATATATATATATATATATATATATATATAAGGTTTTAAAGGATTTAAGACTGATAACTCGCTTTATTTCCTTTTCCTTGATTGGATGTGGACTTAAGGTATCGGCTGTTTGTCCGAATTTTGCTTAAATCTTAGTTGCATATTATGTATATGTATGTAGATATAAAAGTACTATCAAATCAGTTCAATACCTTTGGGTAGCAAAGGTGTACATACATGATCATTCATTTTACTACAGAACTTACTAGTAAACTATAATAGGTATAGTTTAGAGGATCACTAGACACTATCACTATAACAAGTATAGTAAGAGATACTATCACTATAACAACTACAGTAAGAGACACTATCACTATAACAAGTACAGTAAGAGACACTATCACTATAAGTAGCATACTATAACAAGAACAAAATAACATAATGTGAACCACTATTTCATGGCATAACAATATATTTGTTGTGTCACGTTTTGTAACTAGAGTCTCCTATAGGGAGAGAATGTATTTGTGTATAGATTTATACGAGATTGACTATCATATACCTTGCTGCTAACTACAGTGGGACCTGCAGGTCTACGGGTGACAAATGCCATACCATTTCGACGTCTTTTGATCGTCATGTTTCATACTAGTCAATCAAGCATGGTTATAACTTCATCACATTTTACTTTAAATAACCAGTTCAGTGATAAAGGTAGTTAAAGCATAAGTAGTATAAATTATCAGTATTATTATAAGTCTTCATTTTCCATCACTTTCATTCAATGAATTTATCGCATGAGATAAGCAAACTATTTTCTAGTAAAGATAGTTACTAATATGGAAAACACACATTTTATACTATTTCAAGTGCAAACATACACTTTACATCATTTTAAAGAGAAACAAAGTACACAAATAGGTCGGTATTGGAGAGTAGACTGCATTTCATTTAAAATAGAAAATATAGGATTTTCTAGAAAGGATTCAAACTATTACAAACATTTTTACAGAACTTTACAAACATTTTCAAGAAACTAATGTAAACATTTGACACTAAATACTTTTGAACTCACCATCTTAAATGCTGATCTACTCTTTCAAAATAACTTGTATTCTCAGATCGACAGTAGATAGGTACAGATGACCAGGTTTTGAGAAGACAAAGCATATTCAAGACTCGTCTTTATTTTGATTACATATTTTTGGTGTCTTACAACTTTACACAGAACACACTTGTATTAACTATATTATTAATGCAGTGGATGATGTTGTTGTTTGTTTTACTATTTTGCATTGTGATTATACTGTACATGACGTCCTCCGTCCTCCGCCCCTGAACGTTACCATCGTTCCGGTTTTGGGGTGTGATACACCTCCATAGCAAGGACTGACAACAGAGTGGGTGAGTATCACAATTCTCCACGTAAACACATAGCCTTAATTGTGCTTTTGGTTTTTAGGAATGCAGATGTAAAACACTCAATTTTTTCTTCGACATTAATAAACTCATTTATTTCATTTAGTTGGGGATAACATATATTCTTATCCGTACATTAAGTTTTAGTGTACGGTCATTGATTCATTTTGGACTTGGTTGTTGTACCTTGGGTTTATTTATATTTTGCGTGAGAGTTCATCTACACATTGGATTTCTTTCGGCATCTTAGCGGTGCCTCTCTTAAAATTACGATTTCCAGGTAAATCTATTGTTCCCATTTTCTTACATATACGAGCGATTGTGTATTTTCTGTTACTAGATGCATAATTCTTATTAGATAGTTTTTAGATTTTTCGGTAAATGATTGTGTAATGTATATAGTAATCTAATAAATAGTTAATACCTAGAATATATTGTTCCTATTCCGTAAGTAGATACATAATTTTCTGTTGTCCGAATCTTTGTAAAATTTATATTTTAATAAAGAATTTGTAAATGGATTATGTTGTTAAAAAAGAAATTGTAGATATACGCTAGTTATCTTGAGTTTCCCCTTTATTTCACAAACTTTTAATAATTTTCAATGTGATCTTGTCCTTATTAGCAATCAGAAAAGAAGATGGTGCATATCACGCAGTTACCCCCTGAGCTTTTGAATGTGATCTTGGTCTTAGTAGCAATGTCAAGTGATGGTGCGGGAGATCTGGCGAGGGCAGCTTTAAGGTAAGTTTTTACTATTTTCTTGTCTTTTGGGTTAATCGAATGACACGTTACAGTCCATAATGTTGTTTAGTAGTCACGTGGGTATGAAATGATTTTCAGAAAAACTCCATAAAAGTTCTTATGTATCGACCGAATAATCGATTTAGTCCTTATATAATTTTTTATTCATTTAAGACCCAAACACCGACAATTGTATTTATTTTGACCCTTATATAATTTTTTATTCATTTAAGTCCCAAAAAACCACAATTGTATTCATTTTGAACATTTTACCAGGTCAATAGGTCATCCAACTTTCGAAATTTATACTTTTGACATAGATTTTAAATTTACTTACAAATTTGGTCTAAAATTTACACTTTTAAATAGATATTTAAAATTTTTTTAAAAAAAATTATAAATAGGTCTTTTGTGTACAAAAGTATTTCTTTTTTAAATTACATAGGTATTTTGCCTACAAAAATATTTTGTAAAATATGTTTTTATATAGAAAAAAAGGTGTCTATGTGAAAATATGTTTTTTTATATTAATATGAATTTGAAAATATGTTTTTTTTTTTTTGTATAAATACGGTTTTTTATGTGAAAATATTATTTTTTTTCCAAACAAAACATATTCAATTTTTTATTTGAAAAAAAAAAGATGTAAAAAAACAAAATTTATGATGAATTCGTAATAAAATTTTAAAATTTGGGCCAATAGTATAAATTTAGGACAAAATTTGGAAGAAAACTTTAAATCTGGGCCAAAAGTGTTAAGTTTGAAAGTTGGACGACATATTGATCGGGTAAAATGATCAATAATACAGTTGTCGGTATTTGAGATTTAACTGAAAAAGATATATATATATATATATATATATATATATATATATATATATATATATATATATATATATATATATATATATATATATATATATATATATATATATATATATATATATATATATATATATATACATAGTTTTAAACTACTCTATATTATTTAATTATGATGAAATAATTTTTATTCACGAATATATTAAACAAAGGAAAGCTCATTAAAACCCAGAAAATAAAAGTCTAACTTAAATAAGATCATGTTTTTCAGAAACATTTGTGTCAGAAAAAACGATATAATTAAATAAAGATGGGTCATATTTCATTTTTTCGATCCTTTCAATGATAGAATAAACCCCCCTCCCCCACTAGTTAAGGAATGAAATTTAAGAAATAAAAGCAAAAACACATTGCTTGAACATAATCCATTCCATCAGACAAAACAAATAGTTTTTCTTTTTTTCATCGAATCGTTCCAGTTCATTTCCATGAGGCAAAACAAATACCTTATTTTCATTACAATGGAACGAATCTTCCATTTCTTTTGTGACTCCATCTTACCAAACACTGCCTTATTCTTCTTGATAATGATTAATGGTATGTTTAGTCAAATTAATGCTTTCATTGCATACTTTGTGCAGCTGCAACGCCCTTAAGAACCATGCTAAAGAATCAGTAGTCTTGAAAGCGGTCAACTTTCAGCGTTTGACTTCTAACACTGAAGATTTTAGGAAACACCGTAATAGAAAAGGTCTCCTTTGTTTGTGTGCCCGAGCTGGAAATCAATCTGCCCAAGCCATGATGGGAAAGGTAAAATTGTTTTCTTTCAGCATCTCGATATATTATATACACCAAATTTTCAGCTCACATTGTAGATCATGTATTTGATTGTGTGTTTGGCAGGCTCTCCTGGTTCAGGACCCCTGGTTTTGGGGCATGATTTTTGGCGATAGTCTACTCGTGCATTACTGGAACGTTGCACCGAGTGAAGTTCTACATCACATTGACCTTGTGCGATCGTTTATCCTGCATGCTTCCTCCCTAGACGTTGCTGCAATGTGTCAAGCATTAGTCAACTATGTGATCACATATGCTGGATACAAAGCTGCTCGTGAATCTGGTATTGTTTGTGCCATCTATGATATGTGTTCTTATAAGGTTTCAACGGTTAGAGCAGGTAGACTCAGAAATAACCAATTCACCATCAGTTCAGTTGCGAGTGTCTGGGTTCGGTCGGAGCCACCACGTGATAAAGAATTCAATCGTGACACCGTGATTACCTTCTTTGATGAACTCTTCTCATCTGTTCATGGCTGAGATTTGTATGGATGTTGCTTGAAGCATAAATAAATAATAATAATAATAATAATAATAATAATAAAGTGTTTTGGTACCATGTCTCTTATTCAAATCTCGTCTTAGCCTATTCCAATTTGATGATGTTACTCTCGTCGAAGCCATTATAGGTGATAAAGCATGCAAGATAAAATAAATTTGGTTAAGAAGTAAATATATATATATATATATATATATATATATATATATATATATATATATATATATATATATATATATATATATATATATATATATATATATATATATATATATATATATATATGAGAAGTCAAAATAATGATCTAGTTTTTTCAAACAAAATACTTCAAAAATATGGGTGATTTATAAGTGCTTTGAACTTTTTGATTCATTGCTTAATCGATTTTTCAAAATTTACAACTAGTTATAGGTGGAAGATAACCAGAATTTAACGTATTTTCAAATGAATGATGCTCATTTCCTGTCGGATTCTGTGTCTTGAAGGTAAATGAACTTTCCATAGGAATACACGAAATCAAATTGTGTTGAAGACTGGTTTAGACTTTGATACCAGGAAAACTGCATAGAAATTTAATTTGACATTCGTAAACTCAAGGGCTAATTTGATGTATGTTTTGAAAGTGATTATTTCAATTTGAATAACAAGATATGAAAATTGGTTCCAACAAATTCGATTGTAACAATTATATTTTTTTGGGCGTTCGACAGATTCATATTTTTTTAGAAGGTAAATGTTAATATGAGTAGAAAGAGTACGTATTTAAAAAAGGGGGAGAGGTATTGTAAAAGTGGGATGAAAATGTCTCGTTTAATGAGTAAGTACGTTGACGAAAGACTATTTATTTGTTGGGATTGCTAGGTGTTTTGAAGATAATCTATAGATCATTTGTGAAAATCCTCTCTAATAAATAAATGTTTTTTTTTTTATGCTATTTGTTACATTCTCATTTAGCAAATTGTTATTTTTTGGTTATTTTTAATTAATTTTTTTCCACATGTTATTTTACTAGGTGTGAAACCCATGTATTATATATGTTAGTTTTAAAAAAATTAAATATAAAATTTTAACAATTTGAAAAGTATAAATTTATAAGAAAAGTGAGAAAATTTTTGAATTATTAAAATTAATAAGGCTTTAATGTATTGAATACATTATATATATAAACCCTTTCTAATATATATATTACATATATATTACCTTACATATTAAATATAACATTTTAATTTAATAAAATGAAAAATACAATAAAATGACAAGTGGAAAATAGAAAATTTAAAAATCTTAAAAAATATCATGTGTCCAAATGAATAAGAAGATATGTGGCAAAAAACCTTCATTTATTAGAATAGATATGATTTTCTATTTTATTAAATTCAACATAATATTTTAATATAATAATTGCAATAAATGTAATAATAAATGGATATCAATTTCATTAATCAACTTACCTTTTTAATTTCAAATTTCTCAAACTAATGCTCATTATTGTTTTTTATTTATTTATTTATTTAAATTTAAAAGATAAAAAAACATTTTAATTATAATAATTCATTATTTTTCTTATATTCGTATAAATTCAAAGTTCTCAAATATTTTGATATTTATATTCAATTTTATTTTTAAATTAACTCATGTATTACATGGTCTCACAACTAGTTTCATTAATATTCTTATAAATTTTAAGTATTTACTTTTATATATTTATAAAATTTAAAACTACATATACATCCTTATAAAACTAAAAAATTCACATGTATATCAAAACTCATATATTAATTAGGATTAAACAAATTTAATATTGAAAAATATATCTCAAGATCAAAAAACTACCCTTTCGAAACTAAAGATAAATACTTTTAAAGAAGCGTAAAATTTAAAATAGAGAAAATTGAATTTGTCAAGCTATAATTCTATTTTTTTTTTATTAAAAGTATTCCCAAAGAAATGAGAGTTACTATGTTCATTTTATTAAGCTGTGAATACGGCTAGAAAAAAATGTTACTCAATTTGGTGTTAGTCCAGGTCCGACAATGGTCCGGCGGTGGTCCGTTGACGGCGCGACGATGGTCCGACGACAAGTGGCAACTAGATGTAAACTAAAGAATGAAATTTGTCCAAAATAACCTTAATCAAAACATTTAAAAAAATGGTTCTTAGGGTTCTTCACATTTTAGGGTTCTTATTTTAACCACTCCCTATATATATATATATATATATATATATATATATATATATATATATATATATATATATATATATATATATATGTATGTATGTATGTATGTATGTATGTATGTATGTATGTATGTATGTATGTTCAAATAAGAACAATATCGGGTTCGAGAACATTTGAGAACAAAATTTCAAAGCGCCTCACAAAATTTTACACACACACACACACACACTCTCTCTCTCTCTATCTATCTATCTATCTATCTATCTATCTATCTATCTATCTATCTATCTATCTCTCTCTCATCTTCAAGGACCACCATCACCATCACCGTACTGCAACCTAAGGTCGTCGGAACCACTAAGAAGTCGTCGTCAGCTGGACTGTCACCGGATCAAAGAGGACCACTTCCGGAATGCTTGTTCGCCACCACCAAAGGCTAAAAAGGACCTTCATCTGCCCCTCATCTTCCCATATCGTCACCAGATGTTTTTATTCCAGCCACCGCCACTGAATCTCGTTTAGCGGTCATCAGATATCTTGTTTCACCGGATCTGGAGCACAAAACTACCAGATCTATTCCCCTCTCTAATTCTTATATTTTACAGACACAAAATCAAGTATCGAGATCTACTCTTTCTTTCTTCCTTCGCCTCTGCGGTGGTGGTCCGACGGCGACGGTCTTACGATGGCAGTACGATAATAACGGTGGTTTGTTGATTATGACAACTGTGATCTACAAGCATAGATATATATATATATATATATATATATATATATATATATATATATATATATATATATATATATATATATATATATATAATCACATGTGATTAAATTTATCACAAAAATTATTGAATAGAAAACTTAAAAATAAATTTTGACTATATAAATCACATGTGATTTAATATATATAATCACATGTGATTAAGTACATGAGACCAACTATTGAGTTGAAAATATGAAAATAAATATTGTCCATATAAATCATATGTGATTAAATACATATAATCACATGTGATTATATACACGAGAACAACTATTAAATTAAGAACATGAAAATGAATATTTTCCACACAAATCATACAGGATTGATTACATATAATTATATGTGATTAAAGACACAAGACAAACTATATAATTGAAAAGAAGAAAAATAAATATTGTCTACATAAACATATGTGATTAGATACATGAAATAATCTATGATTATATGTATCCAATCACATATGATTTATTTGGACAAGATTAAATACATATGTTCACATGTGATTAAATACACGAGACTAATTGTTGAATCGAAAAAGTGAAAATTCATACTGAAAATTTAAATCATATATGATTAAATACATATAATCACATATGGTTTATATGGCTATATGTATATAATCACATGAGCATTTTGTGATTAAATACATATAAGCAAACATTATTTATGCCATTATATGCATTTAATCATATATAGTGTTAGTGGTTGTAGGTAGTGGGTGGTGGTTGCGGTGAAAGGTAGGGTGGTGGGTGGTGGTGGGGGATGGTGTTTATATTAGGTGGTGGGTGGGTCGGTGGCAGTGGTGTTAACTGGTGGTGGTGATGGTTAGTGGAGTGTAGTGGTGTTTGGTGGTGGTAAGTGATAGGTGGTAGTGGTGTTGGCGGGTCATGGTGGCATGTGAGGTGATAGGTAGTGATAGGAGTGGTGGCGGTGGTGGCAGGTTGTGGTGATGGGTAGTGGTGATCGGTGGTGGGTAGGTGGTGCTAGTGGGGGTTGGTGGTGTTGCTGGTACCGACGGATGGTGATGGTGGTGTATGGTGGTTTTGGCATGTAATGGGTGGTGTGATAGTGGCGGGTGGTGGTAATGGGTGGTGTATGGTGGTGGAGGTGTGTGGTGATGGTCTTGGTGGGTGGTAGGTAAGGGTGGTTATGGTAGATGGTATGGGTGGTGGAGGTGGGTGGTAGTGATAGGTGGGTGGGGGTGGTGGTGATGGGTGATGGTGGCAGGTGGTGGTGATGGGAGGTGGTGTCGGGTGTTGGTGATGGGTGGTGGTTGGTGGTTGGTGGTAGTGGCGGGTGGTGGTCAAAATGGTAGGTGGTGGGTGGTAGTGGTAGTGGTGGATGAGTGGTAGTGATAGGTGGTGGAGGTGGGTGGATGGGTGTTGGGTGGATGGGTGGTGATTGTGATGGTGATGGGTGGTGGTGGTGGTAGTGGATGGTAGTCGTGGTTGGCGGTATCGAGTGGTGGTGATGTTGATGGGTGGTGGTGATAGTTGGTAGTGATGGTGGAGGTGGCGGGTGGAGGTGGTCGGTGGTGATAGGTGGTGGTGGTGGATGGTGGTCGTGGTTGGCGGTAGCGGGTGGTGGTGATGGTGGTGGGTGGTAGAGGTGGGTAGCAGTGATGGGTGGTGGGTGATGGTGTTGTTTGGGTGGTAAGTGGTGTTGGTTTGTGAGTTTTTTAAATGTTTTACTTATTTTTTATTTATATTAATATTATTTGATGATTTTTAATTTAAAAAAAAGGTGGGTCAAATTTGTTCTCAAATTTTCTCGCAATAATAAAGTTTTTCGATTGAACGCTCCCTATATATATATATATATATATATATATATATATATATATATATATATGTGTGTGTGTGTGTGTGTGTGTGTGTGTGTGTGTATGTATAGAGAGAGAGAGAGAGTGTGTGTGTGAGAGAGAGAGAGAGAGAAATTAAATATCCTCCTACTTTTGTTTCTACAAATCCTCATACCCAATTAAATGATGACATGTGTCATATTAATATATTAAAATATCATTAAATGTTATA